AAACTTCTGTTCCTTTAAAACATTGAAAGAACTCACTTGTAAAACTGTTTGGGCTCAGAGCCTTTTTTGGAGTTAATTATTTGAAAGCATTTTTCATCTTTGTCATGACTACTGTTCTAGTTAGGTCTTCTATCTCTCCTTGAGTTAATTTTAGTTATTTTTGCCCATTAATATGATAATTTTATTGAGGCTTTTAAACGTCTTACCACAAAAGTCTACATCGTGGTTTCTTACATTTTATATCTCTCTATGTACTATAGCAAGAGGAAACTCTGGTTCATCCATTCCACTTCCTTAAAATTGTAGTTGTAGTAGCTTCTGTTCTGCTCAAGAGAAAATATAGAAACAAACACTCCTCCCCTCAAGAGATAATTGGTGAGATTGGAGAAAGGCTTATATCTGTTGGGCCAAATTTAGCAGGAGTTAGACACTATTTAAAAAAGTAATAAGGGTATATCTCTCACCCTCTGTTTTTACGTTGCCTTCTCTTCTGCCTTCCTGTGCCCAGACACAACAAGCTGGGTTTGTATATGGCAAGCAGACCTTACAGACATTGGTAAATAGGCCTGCCAGTCACCATTTTATCTACTCAGCTTCTCCACTGTGACTTTGAGTTATCTTCAGTCAATTTAGATTAGAGAGAGGGAAACTCTGGGTTAAAAGTTAAAGCCTCAATCCCCAATTCATCTTTACTGGGCAGCCCTTTACTTGGAGTTTCATTCGGCCTACAGTGACACAGCTGACAAGTTGATGTACAGCAAGCCTTTACTCTATGAAGCAGGATGCTAAGGGGAAAGAAGGAACTATTGACTTCTCAAACATCACTCCTAACTTGAGACCTCTTCCCATTCTCAATTTTATTTGTTTGTGGTTTATCTTTTATCTTAAATCAACCTTCAGCAATTCGCATGTCGTTGTTGTTTCACAGTTTAAAATAAGAGATTCAGTCTGGGTCAGAAGCAACTGTAAAGACTTCAACTTCATGGCTTTATAGATCTTCACTCTAATATTACTCTAGTCACATGGCACAGTTTCTTTACATAAACTTACTTTTCTCTGCCATCTTCTCTTCCCTCTAACAAATAATTTCTTCCCCCTCAAACATGCTTCGTAGCTTCTGCTTATTCATGTCATCCGTTTGGTCATGATCCTTAATGGTCCTTGCTCCAGCTCATGATTTTTCAGCTCCTCCTCTGATGCTAATTGCCAGGTTGTCTCAGTATTTCCAGTTCCGATTCAGGAGGTAGGGAATCTTACTAGCCCAGTTCATGCCTTCATGCTAAGCCACATCACAGATCCTGAAAAGCCGAGAGTATGACAAGGGCCTAGGGCTGGTCAAGTGTCTGCCACTAAGCCTACCATCTCCATTTGGCCTTGTCAATAACAGCTCAAATTAACAAACTGAAACAGAATTCTTGATTTGTGCCCTTATTCAAGCCTGTGTCCCATCTCTGTTCTCTTCCTCATCTCCATAATGTGACCACCATCTGCAGAGTTGTCCAGACCTACATGCTCTCCTTGATTCCTCCCTTTTTCTCATCACCTCACTCAAACTCCCATTCATCAAGTCTTATCCATTCTTTCTCTAAAGTACAGTAGTCCCCTCTTATCCACAGTTTCTCTGCCTGAGGTTTCAGTTACCTGAGGCCAACCACGGTCCAAAAACGTTAAACAGAAAATTCCATAAATAAACAACTTGTAAGTTTTAAATTGTGTTCCATTCTGTGTAGCATGATGAAATCTCATGCTATCCCACTCCCTCCTGCCTGGGATGCGAATCTTCCCTTTGTCCAGCATATCCATGCTGCATACACTACCTGCCTGTTAGTCACTTAGTAGCTGTCTTGGTTATCAGATCGACTGTCACAGTATCACATTGCTTCTGTTCAAGTAATCCTTATTTTACTTAATAATGGCCCCAAAGAGCAAGAGTAGTGATGCTGGTAATTTGGATATGCCAAAGAGAAGCCATAAAGTGCTTCCTTTAAATGAAAAGGTGAAAGTTCTCATCTTAATAAAGAAAAAAATCATATGCTGAGGTTGCTAAGATCTACAGTAAGAACGAATCTTCTACCCATGAAATTGTGAAGAATGAAAAAGAAATTCATGCTGGTTTTGCTGTCATACCTCAAATATGTACATACATGAAAAAACATAATATACATAGGGTTCAGTATGGTTTCAGGCATCCACTGGGGGTCTTGAAATGTATCCCCCATGGATATGACAGACTCGCAAATTCATCCATTCTCTTCATTTCCATTAATATCACTTTAATCCAGGACACCATTATTTCCTATCTGGATTGCTATAACAGCCTCTTCACAGCTCCCTAACCAATCATTGCACTGCCAATTCTTTCCATCATTCAATCCATACTCCACACAGCAGCAGTAATGATCTTCTTAAAATATAAATTTGATCATGGAGTTCCTTCACTTAAAATCCTTCAGTAGCTCCCTATTTCTGTTAGACTAAAATCCAGTCTATACCTATGTCCGACACAGTTTTCCATCATGTGGTCCTGACTAACCTCTCCACCTCATCTCACAGTATGCTCCCCACTCTCTCAATGTTCCAGCCATACGAGCCTTCTTTCAGCGACTTAGGATCCTTGAAGCTCTTTTCTGCCCTAGAGCCTCTGCACACACCTCTGCTTACTGACTCTTCCCTCTGCTCTTTCATTTGCTTCACACATGCAATCTTTTTCAAGAGTCTCTCGTTGGCCACCCCATCCAAAGAGAATTTCCCCCAACTTGTACTTCTTTATTTTACTGCCTTATGTTTGAATATTTTTGCCTGTCTCCCTAAATTATTGGGAAAGAAACTACAAAGAACAGAGAAAAAGCAAAGCCAAAAAAGAGAAGAAAAAGGGGGGAAAAACCTCAAAAGATGAGAAAAAGGCAAGAGGTTGAAAGAAAATAGGCATAAAATTACTAACCTTACTGGACAGAAAAGTGCATAAAATTTTTAAATAAATGCAAATGTTGTACACCCCTCCAGTGAACATTCTAACCACTTATTTCTAGGTCTTAGATAATGATTTCTAACTCCCTTATCTTCAAAATTTATGTAAGTTGATTTTCTTTGAATTCCAGTGACTACGATATTCTCTAGTTTGACCATATTCTCTAGTTTGAGAACGTATCAAAATGAAGGTTCAAAATGAGTTAGAAGCATTTGAAAAAGTCATTCTGAGCCCCTGAAGAGTCTAATGCTTCTTTTCTCATTGTAAGTTTGCATAGCAAGCATCCAAGACAAGTTTTAAAATAAAACAGCCCTCTCTTACGCCCAGGGGTACATGAGGCATCATTTCCCCACAATAGCCTGGCCCTCTCCCTCCCTTTGTCCTCAGCAAGGCCTCTTTGTAAATCACAGGTGTTTGCGGGCATAAAGCCCATCAGAAGAGAGCTTACTGTGAAGAGTTCTTTCTTTGCCACTTGTTCTAAACCTGTTCAGACAGTGCTCTATGCCTTAGACCAAATCTCCATAAAAATCAAGAAACAAGAAGTTTTCTGTACTCCTGCCCAACAGCCGCACTATGACATTAGTTTCGACAGCTCTGTGACCCCGTATTGTCCCAACTTTATTCACTAGTCTCTTTTTCTCTTTCTCTCTCCATTCTTTTTCTTAAAGCCTTTATTGGCATTTTTTATCTACTGTAAAATAAAAAGCAAGAGGATGGGTGTTTTTTTTAAACGCTCTCTATGTGGCAGCTAGAAAAAGCTATCTGCAGTTACTGTAGCAATGGTTTCAAAAAACACCTGCAAATCAAAGAAAGACACCATAGCAGTGTCTTCAGATTTTTTTTTCCCCTTCCCTTAAAGTTCCTTCTTAGCCATTATAGAGTAGGCTCGGGAATGAATTTATGTGACAGCTATGAAGTTAGTATTAAAATTGTGAATAGTGCCTAACAGTTTTCATGCCCTTACTATAAGATGGCCTCAATTTGCCACACAGCGGTGAATAGGGTAAAGGGGGGGCGGGGGGGGTCAAATGAATGGGAGGAGGAGGGTATGCGAATGGGGGGGTTTCCCGGGAGGGAGCACGCAGTAGTCTCGGGAGAAGAGTGATTTATTTTTGAAATTCCAGAAAGAAAGGCCAAGAGAAGCTTGGGGTTGGGGGATGCGAGATAAATAATATGTCTATACACATTTAGCAAGTGTCAATGCCAACTCTAGAAGGAAGGGCGGGGGCTGGGGGCGCGGTGGGAAATCCATTCCTCTGGTCTTCCAAGATTGAATATTAAATGCCAGCAGGGAGCAGATGTGGGCAGGGGCTGCAGAATGGGGTAAGAGGCACGGACGGAGGGAGTTAAGCGTTTATCTCAACGGAAATTAACCACTCGGGGAGAATTAGAAGAAAGCCGGAGCAGGCTGGGCGGGGAGAGCGTCTCTCGGTGTACTTAAAAAGAGGAACTCTTAAGGCGCGGGGATTTGGGGAGGGCATTTAGAAAACAGAGGTGAGCCAGCCTCCAAAGAGCAAGGCGGGGCGTGCCCTCCGCCGCCCCGAGGCCCCGCCCCCGCCGCACTCCCACCCCCCACCCCCCACCCCCCACCCCCGTATTAGCATGCGGGCCGCACAGGGCCGGCCGGGAGGGGAGGGCGACAGTGGGATCGCCGCGCGGGGCGCATTGTGGGCAGCGCTCGCCTCCGCGGGGGACCATCTGCTCGCTGTCAATGCATCACCTGCTCGTCTGGGCCGTCGCCGGGGCAACGGGGGGCGGGGGATTAAGGAGCGTGTGCGTCTCGGTCCCGGCCGCGGCGGCGGGGGCGAGGCGCTTCTCAGCCGCCCGCAGCCCCAGGACAGGTCGGCTCGGCGGAGGGGGCCAGCGACCACCGTGGCGGACTCTGTAGCTCGCAGCTGCCCCTCGTGCCTTGCAAAGGCGCCCGAGCCGCCTCTGCTTGCGGAGGTGGCTGGAATCCCGAAGAGGAGCAGAGAGCCAAGGTCTGGCCCTCGCAACCCACCCAGAGGGCTAGAAGCACGACCCCCGCGTCTACCTGGAGCGGCATGGGCCGTGTCCCAGAAATGCGACCGGCAGCCTCCTCCCGGGGAACTGGCCGGTCCATCCTGCTCCCTGGGGGAGAACCCTGGGAGGTTCTGAGCACCCTGCAGTCGCTGGGCAACCACAGTGTGGTCAGCATTACAGATAGAACCCCTCCGGCTCCTGCCACCCAAGTCACGAATAACTTCCACACCTCTCGTCTGACGTTCTGATCTGCCGCCCAACGCCAAGACTGGGGAAGCCTTCAACCCAGAATATGAGTGACACCTGTTCTTTGGGGGACGACGTCCCGAGGTTTATTAGAACGGGTTGTTTTTCCACGGAGGTAGTAGTTTGAAGATAAAATTCCCCAGAAATCCTGAAATCCCCCTTCCAGCTATTGCTCTTCCTAGCGCTCAAAGTAAATTTGAATACATAAGAAATGCAGTCAGCAATGCAGCCAACAGCAGGGGGCAGAGCTAGGCTGTAGATGGAACAGAGGCCACTTTGGGATACATTTGATCCAAAGCCATGCTCTCTGGTTTAGAAACTTCCAGGAAAATCTGTCCTCTGTTCTTTCCCATTAGTACTCCCACCCCCAGCTGGTCAAGATGTCATTCCAGGGTCTGCCAACTCTTGAGGAATCAGCAGTCTTTCTTTGACTAACTTAGTAACTCAAAAACCAGTTTCCTGCAGTTCTGCTTTCTGAAGAAGCAGAGAAATTGGCCTCTTTTCAAATCAATCCTTTGCGTTGAAGGAATTATTAAATTATGCATTAGCTTTCTCAAATTTCCTCCTGTCTTTTAGTCCATTTTTCTTTTCTTTAACTAAACCCTTAAAGTTACACCAAATACTAGTTTGTGATATTGACCCTTCTGTCTCCAGCTAAAATCTCATGATCATCAAATAAAATTTCTCCCATACTTTTATGATTCCTAGTTCATGAGCTAGATTTTTCTAATTCATGAACACCATGAATTAGACTAATTTAATAATTAAAATGATTTTTTTTAATTTGCTGTTTCCACGCAGCAAATGACAGTCCTACTAAGTTATCACTTTCCTCCTATCACTTATATGCAAGAGAAAAAAGTCAACTATCAAAATATCCATGTGGTTTGACATAATAGATGAAGGGAAAAGAATGAGTGTTCTTTTGTATAAACTTGATCAAAAGATAAAGAAACTTCTACTCATCCAAAACTGCTTTTAATTGTGACTTTCATTAACTAGAGTTGAGAGTTCTGAGAAGGCGTATTCGTCGAGGGCACAAGGTAATTCCAAATACATAGAATCATGGCGTCAGTCCCACTTTGAGAAGGGACGAGTTCTGAGTCCAACCATCCTATCAGTGGACAAGGTCATTGAAACCCAAAGTTAAGTGACCAGCCCAAGACTGTACAAAGGGTGGGGTTGCCCAGAGCACTCTTAACCCCTCTGAGCTCCCAGAGGAGCAGCTTTCCACATCAAGAACACCCCAAAATCCCCTTTCTCCACTCTATTACCGCTCCTACAGCTGATGGCTTCACAGCAGAGATAAGAACTCTTCATCAATTCAATAAATAATCATTGAACACCTACCATGTGTCAAGCAAACTAGACAAAAATCCCCACCCTTATGGAGCTCACTGTTTAATAGGGTTAAATTGATTTTTAAAAAATCAACTATTTATCTACCCAATAAACATGTATTGAGCACCTAATCAACTGCTCTGATAAAAGGGAAAAAATATATCCATAAATAAGATATGGATAGCTCCCTCAAAAAAAGAAAATGCACACACACGAAAAATCAGAGCATAATGTAATTCATTAGAAAATAATGTCAGTAAGAAAAAGATCATGGAAGTATAGAGGAGGCATCAGATAATTTTGCCTGGATAGCGCCACAGACATGTCATAAACTGGGCCGTGAAAAATGAGCTGGAATCCCCATCACCTAAAACAGGGCATGGCACATAGCAGATGCTCAATAAATAGTTGTTGAATGAATGAATGATGTGTTTTCCAAGTAGACAAAGAGAGGAAGATATGCCAGACAAAGACAATATGAACAAAGGCTCTGGGACGTGTGTTTAAGGTATGATTAGTGAGCAATTAATTGTGAGCAAAATAATACAAGAGAAAAGAGGAAGATGGAGTGCCTATTTGGAGGCATGTAGAGAAGGGATTTGAATATCATGACAAGAATGTGGATTTTGTCTTAATGACCAATAGCTTTTCAACAGTAGAATGCTTGTTTTTAAACAGAATCTTGCAAGAAACCCAAATATAATAAAATTGGTCAAAGCAGAGCTGCCTAGTTGAAGCAGGGGTAGGACCTGACACCTTGTCCTCTGGCCACAGCCTCACCATCTAGGCACTGCTGGGGTGCCCTGCTATGCCCCTTGGAACACTCTTTGAAAACTAGAGCCGGGGGCAAGGGGTCATCACTAAATGTTATTAGACAGGAGAGTGTGAGTTTGGATGGAAAAAAGTCAAGGAGAGCGGTTAGGATGCTATCAAAATTGTCCACGCACAAAATAGTGAGGACTTAAATGAGATCAGTGGCATTGGTAGTAAAATGGAGGATAAGAGACGGAAGATAGAATCCTTAATATGTATGACCTTTCTGCTTCAGAGAAAGTAATTTCACCTCTGGTACATCTGAATTTGGATATTTTTAAATGATAATATATAACAAAGTGTGCATCGTAACTGTTACTATGGCCAACACATCACATACTTGCAAAAGTTTGTGAAAAAATACCTTTGCAGTAACTGCTTAAAATATGACTCAAATGTCAGAATACAGATTTTTGGATCCTAAGATGAGCAAATGAAAGATTTAGAAAGAAAGCAAAAAGGAGGGCACAGATGAGAGATATCTAATGCTCCTTTATTTACTCAGCAGGGAAACTAGTTTGGGGCAATGATCAAAGTTATGGTGAATGGCGACCCTGGCCTGCACCCCCTCTAATGTAAGCATTCAAGTGTTTTTCTTAAAAGCCACACAAAATGCCTCATTGCTCACTTACATTTAGATACAGTTTCCCATTAAAAGACCGTTATGGGTACCAAGCTTGTGATTTAGGGAATCCATGACACTCCTGGACTAGGTAAAACAAAGATATATGCTCGCACAAATCAACTAATGGAAGGGAAGGGGCAAAGGAGCTGGGAAGCTGAGGAAATTCACATGATGAAGATAGCTGGCATTTAGCCAAAAGTGAAAACTATAAATATTAATCAGATGAGAATCAGTGTCACTTTCCTGCAAGAATGTTCTGTAATTAAAAGGGTGGGTATTGTGTTGTGCATGTTAGCACAATTGCTGCCAATAATATTGGATGCCAGCAGCTCCCAAGCGCTGGAGAGAACACAGATTCCTAAAGATGTCACCGAGCAGAAAGTTTACTGCAGCCTCAGACATTTTCGTCCAATTCAAATGAAACTTCAAAATAAAGGAGGAAGAAATACCAGGGTTTCAAAAGTGTGATTGTGTCTTTAAAATTTGAAAAAAAAAAAAAAAGACAAGGAAAGAAGTATGTGTTGGAAATCTATTATATGCCAGGCATTTACTAGACACTTTCCATACATCATGTCACTGAATCCTTACCTTGAACCTGCAGAAAAAGTGTCATCGTAACCACATTTCAAACATGCAGCAGTTCCAAAGTTGGCTTTTTAGTCCAGGGTGTGACTATGAGTGTGTCTGAAGTGAAGCAGAAGTGAAATGTCCCTGACATTGATGAAGTTACAAGATCATGAGATTAGGATGCTTAATGGATCATCCACATGAGCACTGAGTCTCCCAGGAAGCTGTTGACCCTTGGAGCCAATGGGGAGCCTGGGAGGGAGGCACCGGAACTCTCATTTGGGGGAATCAGCAGTAATTCCACTCAATGGTCAGGCAAAGGATGTTTGAGCATCATACCAAGAATGTCCAAGGAGAGGGGTTATTGAAGATCAGAGGAGGAACAGTTGAAAGAGGCAAAGGGGGACAAAATTATGATCTTCCCTTCTTTCTTCTATGCCTGGAGATGGATGAGTGAGGTTGAACAGCTTCCACTCCAGGAGGAGACAAAAGAAGTCACCTCTTCAAAGGAAAACAGAGTTTTAGTGAGGTCAGAAATGGAGGGAGCTTGGAATGAGGCCAGGAATGCGGAGGAGTTCTGATTAGGTTACTCTCTCGTTTCTCGTTATTCAAGGCCTCTACGATATGATCTTGTCCAGTAGTACCTTGGTAAATGTTTGACAACCAGCTCTCTGGGAGGATAAAGCCTTGATTGGTAGCATTTGCCAATTTCCCTGGTGTAAATAGTCCCATCATGGTTGGTTTCAATCTTCTGGTGTGACATTTGTGAGTATAGAATTGGGAAAAGGTGTACACAGTCTGCTTTGATGAGCCAGCCAAGTTGGCTCCAGCACACCACTGCCCTTGTCTATTTCATATTTTCCTGTCACTTCTTCTCATTCTATATTCTTGTTCAAAGGTAGGGCTGCTAACGCGTGCAAACTATACATTGCCCAGCTCTTGTAGCACCATGTTTATCACAGTCATCACTGATATGTATATATAATAAGAAATTTTCCGTGAGAAACCCGCGAAGTACAGAGAGAAGGAGACCTTCCCTAATGTGCACAAAGGCATCATTTGGTTTGGTTGTCATGCTTCTCAATGGCCACAAACTAGAAGCCACAAGCCAAATCCAGCCCACAGACGTCTTTTCTTTAGCTCACACTGGGTTAAAAAAATGTTGTTGTTGTTTTTAACTAGCTTGCCAACATTTAAAAATAGGAAACAAAAATCCAAATTTCTAGATTTTCTTGGAAAAATCAGAGCAGGCTGCATTATTAACATATGGAAAGTGACTATGCCTACGGCAAGGTAGTCATTCAAAAGATGTCAGTATCCTTCAGCCCACCCTGGCTGATGTTTTATACTCAACCATTTTTCCCATGATAATCCACGGAATCCATGTCATCCAGACTCCATCTTCCTCTGCAGCTCTTCCCTCGCCTTCTTTCAATTCTAGAATAGTCTTTCCACCTCCGGGCTTTGCACTTGCTTCTTCCTGAAACACACCACTCTCATCCCCTCACTTCGCCAACTCCTACTCATCCTTCCATTCTGCCGTAGACGTGATCTCCACTGTCAGCTCTCAACAAGACTCCCAGATAGTCTCCAACCCGTTTATGCACACGCCATGCACCATACAGTGCTCAGAGTGATCTTGTAAAAACGTAAATCAGATCATGACACAGCGCAATTATAATGAAACAGAAACTCCTTGAAATGGCCCTTAAAGGACTACGTGATTTGGACACTCCCCGTTCTTCAGTCTCACTGTTTCCCTTTCTCCCTCACAAACACACACTTGTGCTCTTGCTGTTCTGTCTGCCTGGAATGTTCTTTCCCAGGTCTTCATAGAGCCTGCACTTTGGGATCATTCAGGTCTCGGTGCAAATCAACTGTGCCTCCTCAGAGAGGACTTCCCGTGCTGGGCATATAAAATAGCAGCCCTCCTTTCTACCAGTCTCCCTTCAACTGTCTATCACATCCCATTGTCACTTATCCCAGATCGTCCCCAGATCTCCAAATCAGAATTCCTGGGGGTGGGTAGGGCATGTCAATCTGTACTTTTATTAAGCTACCCGTAAGGACTCTGATGTGCACCAATTTGGGAACCCTGGTCTATGGGATAAGGGGTGAGGGAAGAATAGTACGCATATTAAAGTGTGCTGTGGCTCGTTGTTAGCATTTTCTTCCTTCTGAGTTTTTGTAGTTCAGTTTGGCAGCTATAGCAGATATCACAAACCCAGCATAATTTCAAAGCAATAGATTACTATCATGTCTTCAATCAACAAATTCTAGAGAACCTGCTAGGAACAAAGCCAAAAATTCCTCCAATCTGTTTGAAGAAGTTGTGACCCTTCTAGTAAAAAGATGAAGTGAAGGATGGACCCCTAGGGGTGAACTCAATAAACTAATAGGATGAAAAAAATAGAGACACATGTTACAAAGAAACTGGAGAACCTATGGGGACTTAAAATTATTGGGAAAATATCTAATGTCATGAGGAACTGTAAGATTAAAT